GTACTGCGGCAATGATGATCTAGCGATGCTGGACACGCTGATGATGGTGGTGGTCGTGGTGATGGTGATGACGGAGAAAAAAGGAATGGCAACACAGGAGTCGAGGCTCATGCTCTTGGCGCTGGAAATGTCGATGTCGGACACAGGTGCTGTTGACATTGATGCTGACGCTGATGCTGCCGCTGATGCTAATGCTGTTGGCTTCTCTTATCATTAGTGATCAAACTGCTATCATTGCTATCGATATACTAGCAATATTACTATAAATAACACTATGATCACGAATTACTATTGTTCTTCGTATTACTGTTATTATGCTAATACTGCTCTTATTATTATTGTGATATTCCGTCGAGACCTGCTCTGCTCCCCGCGGGACCTGAGAGATGAGCCGCTTGCGTCCATGGCGAAGACAGGTCGAAGCCGTTTGCAGCAGGGGGTATTTCTAATCATAGTATTTTTATGCTACTGTTACTGCTACTATGACTGTTATGTTCTTATTGTTAGTTTTTTGTTGTTGGTGGTTTTATAGGAAAGGAAGGCCAACACTCCAGCATGCTTCCCTATCAAAAGCGCGGAAGCACCGCTTTCTGTAAGCACTAAGCCTTGGGGGTGAGAGACCTTGCACCGCAAATACATATGCTGGGCCCGGAATGTGGCAGCATTCGTGGCGAAAAAGCTCGGCGAGACATGGCAACATTTCTACATGTTCAAGCTCAAGCTTGTGGGAGCAGTGCGAGGCTTGCCAGTTGGATTGCGATTTAGCCTTGAGGCGCTGAAGCTAGACACGCCACGGTAAGCTGCTCTTCCCTGGCACTTGACCTGTCAAGCCTGACAAGATCAAGACTCGCTCATGTGTGCCTGAGGTTGGGTTAGATGCTCAGGGCTAATCAAAGGCTTACCTTATCATTATATTGTAGTAGTTTAAAAATTATGTATTATCGTAATATTATACTGTTGTTATTGCTTTTGTTATTGTCAGTGTAATTGCTATTGCCATCGCCATTGCTAGCGCTATTGAAAATGTTAGTGTTATTGTTTTTGCCATTGCTATTGTTGTCGTTATGCTTATTGTTATTGCTGTTGTTATTGTGATTGTTGTTGTGCTTATTGGTGTGATTACTACTCTTGCTGTTATTACTACTTTAATGATTACTATTGTTATTATTCTTTTTACTATCATCATTATCATTACTATTAAATCCTTTTGTTCTTAGTAGTATTGTCATCTTATTGGCTAGTCATTCGTTACTAGTTATACATTACTCGTTATTGGTTGCTGTTTTATTGAGCCAAAAATATGAGTATAAATGGCATTATTGTGATCATAACTAACTACTCTCCGAAGGATCACAGAAACAAATCAACCTGTTTCACGCGACTCGGGGCTGCGAGCTCTGAGCCTCTGGCTGTCCCATCTTTGGGGCACGAGCCGCTGTTCCATCTTTGGGAGACGGGCTCAGTCTGCTACGTGAAGCCTAGGGGTCTCTGATTTATTTCGCGATGTTGGCAGTGCAATCGGAAGTTTGCCTCTGAGTAGAACTTCGGGACATCCTAGGACTGGAAAATATGCCATCTCACTTCGGAGAGAGTCGTCAGCTTCGGCGGTGTTCAACCTCAACTTGCACTCAAGCGGACGGGTCATCGGCCTCTCGTGCGCAGAGCTTGGGCTTTGGAGGAGTGCTGTTCTTGCAAAGGTTCGAGTGTGCGTTGTGGCGACAGCCGCCGGGCAGCGAGCCCAGCTATTCCTCGTCACCTCGGCGCGACGAGTCTTGCAAGAACGTGTGCAGTGAGCTTTAGCACCAGGCCTCGGAGCCAGGATCTGAACTTCAGTCTGGGATTGTCTAAAAGGAGGGCAGGTCTGGCTGGACTCTAGCGACAACCACATGCGCCTCACTCAACCACACATACTGGACTGTGCTCTGCATTTGTGAAGATGCCATGATGCCCCTTTCCGGACCTGCAAAGGCATTGCTGGACAAGCGGCTGTCGGAATCGTACGCAGAGCTGCCAAGGATGGAGCCGGAATCGGAGCCCATCTTGCGGGAGGCCCACTCTTCGTCCTGCATCAGTGAAGGTAATTTTATGGTTCGCGTTGCTTCTTCGATAGATCACAAATGCTGTCGCCACCGTCTTCGGAAGCTCCAGAGGAAGGAAAACTGCGACATCGGATACTTCATCTGGTCTCCTGAAGCCCGCCTGGGGTGCCCTAGTTTGGCTTGCACACTCGAGACCAGCATACCAAGGACCCCGGAGACTACGGAAGCGAGTTTAGCGCATGCTGATCCCGAAGAGCAGCAACCCCGAGAACTCCTTGACATTCCACTCACCGACTCCGTCTGCCCAGGGTTTGTAGTCTTCGGAAGGAGGCTTGAAACTCCATTCCTGGCCGAGTAGAGAAAACGAGGGATGGCTTCCGCATCCTCTTTGGCTTCTCTGATTCTTGCGGCATATCTATAGCACGTAAAACCTCCGGGAAATCATACGTAGTTCAATCCCACAGCGCCCGCGATACATCAACAACCGTCCTTTGAAAAAATACTTAACTACTCCTTGCTTAGGTTGCGCATGGCATATGTGACTACCCAGTATCTGCAAATACTGTCAACTTTCATTGTAATTATTTTATGTTAGTTTCATCCAAGAAGGATTGAGCTAGTACTGATCTAACACAAAGACCGTGAGTACATATTGGAATAATGAATGGTACATATGCAGCTGGTATTCACGCGATAGTAACAAGTTCTCCTGCTGTAAGCTAACATGCATGAAGTACGGTTTGGAATATGGCGGTGCACTACATTAACAATGCCAATCTGATTTGAGTCAAATATGCCCTTCAAAACCAATGAAACCAAACCACTGCCATTATGCAGACTAGCTGAATATATCTGAATGTTAAGTGTAATCTATCATCACCTACTGCGTCGGTAGTGCCAATACATGAAGTGAATATTATTCGGATATTAAAAGACCGAAAAGATACTGGTTAAAAGCTGAATTTACTTAGACTCAACAGGCTTCAAACATCTATTCATGACGTCTTCACGTGTACACACGCTTTGTGCCACTTCAAAAACGTCCACTCTTATATTCCTTTCTCCTCGGATAAACTCGATTTCCTGCGGCGCACTTGCTTCCACAAGTGTAACCTGTCCTAGCTTCCTTATGTAAACAAACCATACAATATCCCTTAAAGGATGTACTGTCGTGCCAATAGATAGCGCCAACACATAAGATCCCCTAGATTCCCTGTCGCGACAACCTATGTGCTGCACTACCCAAATCCACCCCTTGAATTCCCGCTATTCCCTAAATTTAGCAACTCTCTAATTCCATACACAATGCGCGGGGCCACCTCAATTCGCTAGATTATCTGATTTGTCTACGTAGATGTCCCCTTGGGTTCCCGGACATGAGGGGGGAATTAATGAAGCAAGGGAATTGGAATTAAAGGAATTACAAGAGGAAGTTTAGTGAATGTAGGGCGGCAACTACTGCAGAAAGTATGACATGTGTATATGCACATGTGTATGTATGTCTGACACTACATCTGCCTGTCTGTGTCTCTCTGAACAAATTTAGTTGCAATACTGCTAGTCACCCCCCTCAAATACCAACAGTATTCTTCTGGCTTCCTACTTTCGCATCCCCACTCCACTCCCACGCCCCCGCCAGCGTCATCACGTAAAGTCGTAAAAAAGCGGAAACGTTGAGGAGGTTTCCGATTGTAGACTGCAGCTGAGTAGCCCAACAGCCAGAAAGGGATCACAGGAGAACAACCCGCTTCTCGTGCCGCAACAATGACACCCGAACCGAAGAGCCAACAAACTCAGGGGAGAAGCAAAGCAGAAAATCAGCAACCTGGGAAACGCGTGACGAAGCAACCAAACGATAGAAAAACATCAACCATGAACAACACGCACTCCTTTTCAGCTTAAAGCCCCCGGGGGACTTGACAGATTTTGCCGGCCTTCGTCCCGAGCTTTAAACGGAACAAGCACGCTTTCGTGGTGATCGCAGGATACCTGAAAGCAAGCAAAATTCGACAGATGCGAAGCCTGTGGACTACTTGCCGTAAGGCCGTAAGGCATGGAGTTTGGAGTTCAGGCACCAGGGCCTTCTTGATGCAAGGCACAAGTCACGACCGTTCGGCTCGAATTCCATCATGTAATCAGCCTTAGAGAGTTGCGACGGAGGGACACATATGCACCAGAGCACAACAGACTACGTCTGTTTCAGTTTCAGAACAAGCTTGCGTCAGAATAGTTCGGGTTGGCTGCCGGTCCAAGTCTACGCTTTGCCCTGCTCTCCGCTGCGGCTCATGCCTAGGATTGTCGGGCCTTACGACGTCTTGCCTGTCTGATGCGACTTTTCAAAACTGAATACTTTCCCTTCACAGAATAGGAAACTCGAAGGCAAAAGCGCAGAGTTCGAATCTGCCCACCTTCCCCGTACAGCTTTCCTTCAATCCCCGCACACCTCAGAGCCACCCTGCATGAAATTCAATATCATCTGCCCTTGGTCCAGAGAGCAGCAGAAGATGCTATGGTGAGTGTGCCACATACAGCTATGCGCACCCAAAACTGCGGATTAAACTCAGAATCTTATTCTGGTGCTGCAGTTGCGATGCTGCAACTGATGTGTCGACTGACCTTATTTGCTGAAGCGGTGCCTGTGTCGGCCAAGTCGCTTCTGTATACCAGGTGCCCTGGTGTGAAAGTTGCATTTTGCCCTCGGTGTAATCCAGTGCCAAGCCCAAGATGTCGCCTGGCTCCCACGGCTGGGCTCGCACCTGCAGGGTGTCCGTGGGACGCTGGAGTTGCGGGCGCAACGATTTAGCAGTTTCGTTGCAAGCCATGCTTCCCAGAAGAACCCCAAGCAGATTATCATGTGACCTTCCTGTATCAACATGCCTCTTCAACGTGCTGCTGCTGCTGCTGCTGCTGCTGCTACTACTGCTCCTAGCAACCCTGCTCCTAGAATGATTCTCAAATGGCCTGCTCTGCTTTTCCAGCCCGGATCTTCTCCATGAATCCCCCGAGCATGCCTTCCCAACACCAAGCTTCTCGATGCTTGCCTGAGTTTACAGACAGGGAGACTGACACGTGATACATAGTACATCGTCAGGATTAAAGTTTCGTCGCGCTGGCTTATGGGATCATGCAGAATATGCGGAGCACCGAAAAGTGCCTTCTAAGTGATCTGGCTGGCAGAGGAATCAAGCCACGAGAACAGATTTATACGGAGGACTGTGCTGGAGGAGTCCACGAGAAAAAGAGTCTAAGGGGAAAGGGGTTTGCAAGTGGTTCAAGACCACTTGTCATACGTCTTGCTTCTTATGGACACTTGAAGTCACTTGAACTCAGAACCAAGCTTCTTAACAAGAACCCAGTTGCCTAAGTCCTTGTCTCCCTGAAAGGAGCCACTGGCCCAACCAGCCTGAATCCAGTCAAATGTGGTCAACAGCTCCAGCTCGTAGTAACGTCTCCCAGTGCTGCGACCCTCCTTCTCTTTGAGCTTTGCTGTCAATGGTCTCTGGAAGCCTATTTTGTCTGCATCTTTCTCATCGCCTCCTCTGCCACCGAATTTGTCCAAATTGCTAGTTAGAAAGGGCATTTCCAAACGCGTCCATTTCCGCTCGAGCAGGCTTATCAACTCCTCGTTTTCCGGCTGAGCTCTGGCTGCATGCAGTGCTCGCTGGGCATCCTTCCGTTCGACACTGCAATGTTCCAGCAGCCATCTCACAGCTTCCGTCTGTCCATCCCGAGCTGCAACCGTGATGGCCAAGTCTCTGTTGGCATTGGGTCGGTCTGGGTCGCATTTGGCTTCCAGGAGCACCTCCAATGCCGCAGTGTTGTTGCAGCGAGCGGCGAAGAAGGTGGGCAGCTCGTCTCTGGCGGTTGGTGTCGTGAAATCCTGTGCTAGGGTTGGGGCTTCCAGCTCCTACTGCTGCCCCCAACAAGCATGCATTAAGACTTGCATCAGAAGTTGGGCCGAGCCCGTGTCGTATGTGGCGCAAGACACAAAGAAATGTGAGCACGTACCCGAAGGCTCATGCTTGCTTGCAGCACCGGTATACGGAAGGTACTGAACCATCCGCGCAACTAGTCAATAACTCGACTGCGGCATGCACATGGTAAATTCTATTCCATGAATAACCCCCCATCTAACGACCCGTAGGTGTCTTCACACAACATGCAAAAACACCGAGGAAACATGTGAAACATTCGGAACACATCGAGAAAACACGCGGCAAGCTAGGACCATGTGGCAAATGAGGAAAATGCGAAGTCAGTGAAATTACGAACATGTCAGAACATGTGGGAGGACTGAAGGCAAAAGCTGCTACACTTGCGAAACTCAAACAGCAATATCACATTGACTTGGACGATATGGCATTTCCGTTGGTTCACATCATCTCTACAGGTTCGATTTAAGTTCCATCCACCACCTCCGGGACTGTTTAGCCGGGCAAATCACAACTTATACTGATCTACAACTATCTTTACAGCCTCTTCGAAATGCCAGAGACGACTCCCTTCACGTGTGTAGAGTGTAGAAGTCTGGCACATTGTCCTCGCTTGTTGAGTTCATGACATTCTGCAAGGCCGACCGCAACAGGTGCGAGCTTATTGATCAATAAGGAAACCCTGGACCACAAGAAAAAGGGTCTGATATGCCATTCCAGAATCGCAGCCGGCAACATGCAGCTGCTTCAGGGCTGCAGCCTGCACCTGATCACAAGACTTTCGAAGGCTTTCAAAGGCTTATAGACGTGATGGCTATGAGGATCTTGTTCGGATTTTTGTTTTGGCTGCTGAGCATCCACCTTACGGGCTCTCGAAACCTGGCGAGAAGTCAGTTCATGCGCCGACGCATGAACGGCATGTTCAATGTACATACATCCCGCACACGGGCAGTCACTAGGATTTGTGTCGGATGAGAGGAGTGGCGATTGCTGCAGGAACTGCCGCATCGATGCTAGCAATACTGAAGAACGACAGAGCTGGAAGACTGCTATAATAAGGACCGAGCCAGGTCCCTACGGGTTCCACCAACAGCAAGACCAGAAGATGCTTTAACAAGTGGCACTAGACTCTAGACGAAGTCTTTATGATGCATGTCACCTGCGCGATCTCGGAGTCGTCCGTGGGTCGCAGAAGGTATTGCACATCCTCGGGGCGAAGCACTAAGTCACCACATTTAGGAAGAATGCACAAACCAAGCCCACAATCAAAGTGAACCATGGTGCGCAACAGCCCCATGTTCTGCTTGGTTCATCCCACCCGCAGTCCATTCAAAACCTGTTCCATTCTGCTTCCTTGCTGTGTGCTTTGCAAGCACCGTCGCCCACAACCTAGTGAGGAAGGTCTCCGCAGCGGGCTCGACTGCCACGAAAACACAGCACTGCCATTGCTCTTGCTACGAGTGGTTACCAACCGAGTAGCAACTCGTATGCTCAGGGAACCATGCCACTGTTGTTACGGCCGCAACAACTCAAAGCTGCCGAATCGTTCAAGTTACATACGAAAAGAAGGATATAGCTCAGATAGGCCATGACAAGCCCGCCCAAAGTATTACATACGAGTAGAACTGGAGGAAGGCAACACGGAAAGCGGTGCAACTCCCCCTAATCCCAGAGTCCTAGACTCCTCATGCTGCCAACTCTGCCGGTCCTCCACTTGCAAGGTCTGTGCCGTGGCGTTCTGCTGCAGCAGAATTTGGACGGCTTCACAAGATCCAAGCCGCACTGCAAGCACCAGGGGTGTGCGTCCCTCTTCGTCGCGCGAATTGCCATCGGCGTTGAATTGAACCAACAGTCGGCAAATCTGGAGATGCCTTTCTGTTAGATTCTGGCAGCCTCCGATCGGCGACAGAGCCTTGTGGAGTGGGCGCTCCTGAGGCAGAAAGCTTTACAGACATCACTGAACACGAGACTGCAAGACAGGATCGCTGATAGTGCATATAAGGACATGACTTTCTTGTCGTTCGGCGAGTTGGCATCCGCGTAGTTTTTGAGCAACTCCAGCACTGAAACTTCATCACCATCTTGGCAGTGCCTGGGCGACCCCTGCATCGTTTGCGTTGATTTACACCAACCCTGAGTACATCATGCAGGACATCACAGGACTGAGTATGTAACAGTGTGTAGATTAGAATCGGGAAGATGTCAAAAATGAGATGCGGCCTCTTTTCTCCCATCCAAGCTCAGCGAACTGTGGAACTCTGCCGCAGAGCGTCTGCAACAATTGGCTGTTCGGCTTCAGCTTATCATGGACGACCTTCTTCAGGTTGTCTTGGGCCGCTTTCAAGCGCACCATACCAGCGACCTGGCAGTTCATGTGCAAGGAGCCTAGTGCATCACGTCCTCAACCATGCCCGTTCATGGCTTGCAAACTCCTGTCATCCCTCGATTTCAACCGTTCCCCCGAGGACGCCTACTTCCCAGGCCCGGGATGGCCGCACCTGCGAGAGGATGCAGACCGTCCTGCCGATGAACTCGCTGTCTGGCTGGCTCCTCAACTGCAAGAAGCCTCCGGGGCAGCATCGCAGCTGTAGCTCGGTCATGGACGTAGCACAGAGGAATCGTGCAAGGGCTGTGTTTCGGAAGGGCAAAAAGCACCCGAGGCAAAGACGAAGCGAGTTTCGCCGCAACAAGCAGAAGAGAGCATACATGAAGCTGTCTTTGCAAGCGTCCATGCTGGCAAGGATCCTTGCATCAACGGGACGATGCCGTTCGTGTCAGCTGTGTCCACTTCGGCCCTGTGTTCGAGGAGCAGCCACATCGCACGCTCGTACCCGCCCTCCATCGCCTGCAACACCGTGCCCGTGCTGCAAATTAGTGTGCAACGACGGCCCGACAGAAACCCAAACTGCCTTGCTCGATTCTCCTGCCTTATGTGGAGCAGAACAAAAGATCCGGAAGCTGAGGAAGAGGACTCTTCACTATGCCAGGCATTAAGCGTCATGGTACGACGGGACCTATTAGTGTCACAATGCAAGCCATCACGACAGTCTCATAGTGCCCACCCTGCGAGGAACACTCTGGCGGCGATTGCCTCTGCATTGCTCTCGAACAGATCCGGTTGTGCACAACGACACTCGGCTACATTTTCCATCATCACTTTCGCAGGCAATAGATAAGTTAATTAAAACGTGTCATGATGTGTAGCCTCCACGGTGACACCAACTTGCATAACGACGTAAATTGCGTTTGAGCGGCGATGATAACAGAAGGACTGTTACTAAGTACGGAATATCTGACACTGACACCCGCTAAGCTTCAGAGCCTTGTGCAAGGCGGTCTGGCCCGAGATCTTGTCTTGCACGTTAACATTCGCACGGTGCTCCAAAAAGATGCTCCTTTCCCACACGGAGCAACTGACAAACCCGGGATGTGAAAGCTGTGTCGCGGAGTCTCAAGCAGCCTGGACTGCACACAAAGTGCCATTGGTGCCAAGAGTCATAAGCTGAGAATTGCCTGTCTGCGCTGCCTTGAGCAGCAAGGGCTTCTCGCTGCTGCTCAGGATATCCTCCGGAAGGCCAACTTCCGTCAGAGGGGGGTATCCTTGTTCCATGGTGGTTCTGCACATGAAGTATTCAGACGGCCTTGCAACCCTCGCTGTAACCTACAAGCCGTGTCACAGCCATGCTGCGCTGAACCGGCTAAGGTCTGCATAACGAGGCACTCATCCCGAAGCCGGTGTGAAAGTTTTACTGCCGCATGTTCCCAACTCCCAGCCGCGATCTTCAAACAATAAGGTCAAGAACTCCACGTCACATTGTAGATGGGGAGAAATAGATCGGGACTCATCATCTTTTGCGAAAAACCTTTCGATGACCACTACTAATACAAGCGGCTAAGCTTCGAGGGCTTTTTGCCAAATGCCAAGGTACAGGGACATCTTACAGCCCGCAAGGCTCTCGGAAAGGATGTCTCCCTTTCGAACCAAGCCGGCCCAAACCTGCAAGCCCGGCCTGCAGCTGCCTCGTGGCATCCTTCCCCAAGTGGTCCTTTGGCGAACGAAAAATGTTAAAGAGCGGGTGATAGACACGAGACTGGGTGGTTCAGGGTTGAGGCCGGAGGCTGGAACTTTAAGATTTTCAATTGGAGGGCGGAGGGGCGGGGTTGGCTTTGAGAGTTCAGGCCGCCGGTGGGTCTGGAACTAGGGCCCCGGGCATCAACTTCCGATTTCTTGGCCACAATGGCTAGTACTTAGTACAATGAAGACAACGCCGCACTTTGCACCACTCGGCATGCATCGCTCGCCTGACAACGCCACACTTTGCACCATTCGGCATGCATCGCTCCAGAATGCTGAAAGCGGTCCTTGCCCCACTTCAGGATGTTCCCAGCTCTCTTCACAGCCTCCGTTCCAGTATCGGCCACAGCCGCCGCAAGCTCCCGGGCGACTTCGAAGGTGCGGTGTCCGCTGCCCTCCTGCTCTCCGTCATTATATGATTTTGCGTCTGCCCAAGTAACTGTGTTCTCTGCAAAGTTGAATGTTAGGATTGGCTACAAGGTCCGGAGGTGGTTTGGGAATGTTTGCAATGATTCGGGTGAACGATCTGTGTGGCGGAGGCCTCAGGCTACAAGAATTCCACGCCCTGAGCAGACCACTCCTTGATGTAGATCATGCCAGCGACATTAAGCCTGGAGGCTCAGAGATGCACGGATTGAACGGCATAGAGATAGAAGGGTGTTCCTGCAGGAGGTTCACCACACTCTAGACATGAAGGGTTTTGTTCGGCCATTTGCAGACGCTGCAGGCTGCCACCGCTTGGGCAGCCCTTGCTTAGCGAGTTTAGGGCAGCCCGGCAACTGGAGCTCGCAGACAATGTCGCTGATGCGCACTGTGAGCTGCAGGTCGCGATAGCCACCATCCAGGGGATGGAAGTATCTCGGCCAGCCAAGCCCAACGGACAGGAGTTCGAGACTGGAGGCAGAAGTGGGGCAGAAGCTGGTTTTTTGCAAGGCCCAATTGCAACACACCGGGTGCTACAGCTCCGAAGTGCCACCCCACCCCACTCGCTGCAAACTCTGAACACCACAGTGAGCATGTCTAGCAGAGCCGACAAAAATTCATGAAGCCCTGCACGGCACTACAATGCCAAAGACAGGCATCATCAGGGAACGAAATGGGGTCATTTCCGGACGATCCAAAACTGAACCACGACTGTGCTTGCGGCTGTTTGGCTTGAGAACAACGGCTCTGTGACAGCCCTGCGGCTTGTGCAGGGCAACTTGTGCCTAAGTCGACAAGCTTCCTGCTGCCGCCTTTTATGTGCGCACATGAAGATCTTAAGTCTCCTAGTCGCTGCTCTGGTTTTGCAGCAGCCCTCGACAAAGGTGCCTGTCATTGAACTCCACAATCTCCAGGTCACCGTCCTGCTCAGACTCAGACTGAAAATCGCAGGAACGGTTGCGAATGAAGCTGACGGGCCCGAGAATGAGGTTTCGGATTTTCAACCTAGACGGCAAGTCAACAGTTTGCACTGGGACCGGTCGCAAACTGGCCAAACGAGTCAGCGACGCCTGGTGCATGAGCTTCAGCCCCTCGTACATGTCGTCCAGGTTTCCATACACCACTGTGTCCCGGACAATGTCTGTTAACCGGTGCCTTATCAACTTCTTGTCTGACACCACACAACCGTTAGTGATCGATCTATCTATCTATCTAACCATCTATGTATCCATCTAACCATCTATCTATCTATGCATCCATCCATCTATCTATCTTTATATCTATCTATCTATCTATCTATCTATCTATCCAGCTATCTAGCTATCTATTTATCTATCTAGCTATCTAGCTATCTATCTGTCTCTCGGTAAGTACGCATGTACACATGCATGCATGTATGTATGTAGGTATGTATGTATGTATCTTTTATTGTATCTATTTATTTGGCTATATAAACTCAACAGCGAAATGTCGTGCAGACAAGCTGCCAGGACACGTCGCCGCTTGCATCGCGATACTTGAACGTTGCTTTTGCTTCGCACCGCTCTTTGGACTTCAATGGCGGCTTGCAATTCTTTCCACCTGTCTTCGTCGCGATCTCCTTCACCTGCTACTTCACGGGCAGATTCCATGGCTCAACCAGTCCACTTTCAATGCCGCACACTTGTAAGGCTGGGGCTTTATCGAAGAAGACTTTTTGGTACTTCTTGCAGCGCTCGATCAGCTCGTCCAGATTATTCACGTACTTCTGGTAGTTGAGCTTGACGCTGTAAGCAAGCCGCGCCTTTGAATCTCCCGAAAGCACTTCCGCCATCTCGGGAGCCACCTTGTAGGATTCCATGAGGCTTGTGCCTGCAAGCACTTCTTTGATGCAATGCCGAGTGTCTGAGGCATAGGGGTACAAGAAAGGCAACAAAGCGTATCATCTGAATGAAAGCCGGCCACTCAGTTCTCTAAACTCCTCCAACTTCTTCTCTCCTCCCACTTGCTCCAGGGCATCTCTGTAGCTCCTGGGCCGCTGGCCCGCTCACGGATTCCACCAAGGACAAAACAAGGACTTAGGAGTAGCTAAACCTGAAATCCAAGCCTCACCTGTTTACCCCCTTCTACAAGAAAGCTGAGACTCGTCGGCTTTTCTTTGCCTTCTAGAAATTCTTTATGCGGTGGGACTCGCTCTTCCTTTTCCTGCTCACAGGACACTCGGCGTTCATGTTGGGCCGCAGGACGACCGAAACCAAAAACCACCAAGAACGAATACAGGAGCGCCATGCCGCTATGCATCGGGGCTCTGCGTTAGACGAGGTCTTTAAGGGCTCTTATCCACAGCCTCAGAGTCCGTGTCGCCCGACAGCTGGCGCGAGATGCGCCTTTCGAGCTGGGTCACGAGCTGGGTCGCCTTCGGAGTTCAGCGGAGCTGAAACTTGAGAAGCGATTTGTTTGGCTAGGGCGGCTAGGGCTTGGAGGTCCGAGATCCTTGGTGCATCTGATCATTAACCTTTTCAGGCGTAGAGCCGCCGGAGCTCTGGCAGAAGCCAATGCTTCTTGCAGGCCTTTCCTTGTTACTGGCGGCCCGGAACTGCAAACGAAAAACTTGAAGCTCTCCAGAAGACGGGCCCCCGAGGCTTCAAACCCGACAGTGCGACCACAGAAGCCGAAAACTGGCACCACATCCTGAAGCTCCTCATCAAGAATTTCGCGCTCTTCAGCGGTCGCCTCCGCATCCCAGTCCTTCGCAAGCTGCGTGAGTTGCTGCTGCAGGTCCTTGATGTCGCGCGTGACCTTCCCAGCTTGATTGTGGGCCGGAGGCGCCCCGGTACCGTTCAGGATGCTGTGGCAAAAACCCAAGAATGTCTCTCTTCTTCCAGGGTGCGGGCATCCGTCGCCGTGACGAGACTGAAAAGTATTGAAGCAATGAGGTCTCAGGGTCATGTGGGTCATGCCAGGCTTTGGTCATCTACGGCTCGGGCATTCCCGAGAAAGCCTCGCAATTCCGTGTCAATGAGTCATCCAGCGCCCTTGATGTCAGAAGCCCAAGCCCTTGCTGACATCCTGAAGAAGATCTAGAAGTCGTCTCTCTGGTGCAGTTTGGTTTGTGTCGTGGGATACATTCTGAAGGCCTTTGTGACCTCAAGAGAGATACGTGAATGCAAGTGTTTGCTGAAGCTCGGCACATTCAGATTCATGCCGCCTTGGGTCCAGAATTGAAGGACTTCAGCTGTGGATTCTACGGTTTTAAGGCTCCCAAAACTTCGATGATTTCGACATCGTTCGAAAAATCCTGGGCGAGGAAGCAACGAGCCAACATCATGTTTTCGTTTGGGGCTCTCCAAAGACCCATCTATTCGTAGGCTTGCACGGTTCAGGTTTAAGGGCATTCTCTCGACAATTCTTCCCGCCGGTAGAGGGTCTGCCCACTTCGTCAAGGCCCGACTCGCTTGCATCAAAGGAGCAGGGGACATTGAGATGTTCATGCCATGGTTGCTTCCACGAAGGTCTGACTTTAAATCCTCACCCGCATCAAGCCACACCACCAAGTAGAGCCAACAGCCACTCCACAAGCACTTCAAGCCCAAGATAAGCCTTGCACCCCAAGCCCGCTGTCGCGCCTTCTTCTCAAGCTCCTGCAGCCTGGCTGCCCCAGCTTCAGCCTGCGCTCTTGTCATGGCAGAGGCTCGAGGTCTCGGCTGTGAGCTTTAAGCTCCGCCCCTTAGTCAGCTATCGCGGCTCCAGCAGCCTGCAGCTTGCGCACACTTTGCTCGAGATTGGCGACGGTCTGCACCAACGCCTCGGGAGCCTGCACTGCCCCGATCGGAAACAGGGCCAGAGCTGATGATAAACTAACGCAGTGGTACGGTGGGTGCACGGAAGAAAGTGTGGGAATGTCAACAGGGCTTCAAATACATGATGCTACACGTCTTCGTGCTACTGGTACCATTACAGGGCCCACCTGCAAGCAGTGTAGGCGCTTGTTACAGAAGCAGTGTCCAGCACCGAAATCAAGTCGGGGAACCGCCTCGACTGGCTTTGCTGGCAGAGCCGTGGCATGGCCAGGCTCCTGAGACTTGTTGTAGACATAGATAGATGCAGGTAGATTCATTTGGATATACATAGATGTAAGTAGATATGGATATAGATATAGCCAGACTGGCAGCGTGAGGATCACAAACCCGGCCGCATGATCAACCAGCTGCTTGCTCCTGATGCCCGTCATGGCTGAGAACTGCTTTGGAAACACCTCGCACGAAGGGGCCGGCGCCAAGCTAAAGACAAGCATCAAACAAGCTCAGCAATTATGGGAATTATGGGTAGGATGCATGGGGCAGCCGATGGGTTCGACTAGTGCTGGCCTCCGGGACTCTGGGTCGCAAACCGTGCGGCCACAGTTTAAGGCCGACAAAGCGGATGTTTAAGCCTAAGCTTTTCTCCCAGGCTGGCCCTTCTGGTGTAGGGACCTGGGGATGCATGGGTAGTCCAGAGCATATAGATTTCATTTTTGAGTTGGTCGCAGACTAGTACCATTAGTACCGCAAGCTACGTAGGTGCGGGAAGCCACTCCGAGAGAGCCCAGATCTCGCAGGCAAGACACCAAGCGACCTTCTCAGAAGCTTGCAGCCAGGTGTCGGTCGGCTATGTTCTCAATCCGGGCATTCAGCATCTCGGACCTGAACAGAATTATGGAGGGAGGAATCGAAAGACAGATGACCAAAGCGAGACTCGGGACCTCTCCCTGTTTTGCTGGTTTGGTACAGAACAGGTTGACATTGGATCTTGCAAGGTTGTGGCTGTAGCATGTAGTCGAATCTGTGCTGGTTGTGGTGATTGTCACGGCCCTTTTATGCGTACAGTACAGTCAAGACGGACCGGACCAGCGGCGAGCGTCGGGGTGCTCAGCCATGCGACCAGACGCTGGGAGCCAGGCACACGCTCTTCCAAAGCAGCACCGAGACGGTCCACCTGGCTCTCGGCGCAATTACAAAGCTGCATTTCTGGTGCGGAGACATCAAATTCAAAACTTCTGGCGCCACTTTCACAGAAACCGCAGCTTGACTTCTTAATTTGCAGTTTCAACCAGCCCAGCAACCCACATTGGCAGGCCTTCCCAGAAGAAGCGAGTTGCCTCTTAGGTTCCGAAAGTGCCCCGAGCCGACGTCCTAGAAGCAAGACCTTGAAGAAAGCAAGAAGACACAGCCTTCTCCTGCGTGTGCTTGGTCACTTTCGCCTCCCAGGCTCAAGGACGGAAGACAACGGCGGGGGGGAGGGGGGGGTGGGCGGGAGTCAAGACCTTCTGCTGCGGTTGAAGTAAGTGGAGGGTGGTAGTCGAACTGAAAGCAAAACTTGCAAGTGTAGCACACAATACAGCCAGACATCGACACCAAAGCATTTCGCAAAGGTTCTCCCGGGACTACACATAGCTCCGGCAAGGGGTTTCGAGGCTTGTACTCGGATGGGCCTCGATCTCCTCCAAAGCTCCGGACAGCCGAAGAGCCACATGGCCTGGTTTGGGTGTGCACAGGCTTGGGTACTGCTTTCAAGGCCATGTGGGGTAGATGAAAGTTCACGCAAACGATTTTTGACTCTGCTTGCACAGAGCCTGCCAACCCTGCGTGAACGATGCTCAGGCGTTGGCGAGCACTCTCCATCTCGGTCATAAAACTCATCTGTGCCTCGGCAGGTCCGGATTGAATACCGAGAGCTGGTGCCTCATGTTGCTGCTTTTGCCTGCCCTGGCAATGTGAGTCCGGAAACATGGTGGCCCCAAAATTTGACAAACCCAAAAGCGGTCGGTACACTACCAATGCCCAGAAGAGATGCAGAAGCCCCGCCTCGGATCTCACTGTCCGGAAGGCGCACTCCAACTCCTGGGCCAGGTCCCATGTATTGCAGCTTGCAGCCCGCATCGAGCAGAATGAGCAGAATGCCTGTTTGATTACACAAGAACTGTTGCAAACTGTAATGTTGCATATAATATAGCGAACATCATATATTATACACGATATGTCCACCTCTGTTAGGATAATGGACTGTGCCTTTTTGTCAAAAAGTGTCAAAACACATCATGGCACCTCATAGCATCTCTCATACCATCTCACAGCATACCATATCATGTCTTTCCTGCGGTGTTCTCTCTATACTATCTCTCTCTCCGCCAATGCAGCCAGCGGGCATTGTGTTATATTACATTCAATCACAACAAACTTTTTGTACTAGTTTATACTGTTTCATATTGCACCGTGTTGTATTATATATCTGCTTTTATATTTCATCACGCGCAACCCTTAAAGTTGCTTCCCGCAAAGAACACAAACCACCCACAACCCCAAGAAGTCCCACTCAAGACATTCCCCCAAGTAAATGCAGTCCGAAATGGCATCTGTGTAATCGGCCACGATCTAATAGAACCCCTGTCCCCAACTAAACGCATGTTGCACCAGAGGTGTTGCATGGCTTTGACATGCGTCGATATGTGGAACGAACGCATCAAACACCATGTAAAAGCTGCAAAAAGCAGCATGGATAACATCCTACATCAACTCACGAAACATAGCATAGCACCGGACATATTGCATTCCGTATGTTACACACACTCTATATCATCTATATATATATACATACATA